GAACACCTGCCTGCCCATGGGCAGTGGTGAATTCATGTCTTATTTTGCTTTGCTTGTGTGTGCAGCTTTTACCTTACCTATTAAACTGCCTTTATCTTAGCCCACAAGTGTTCTCCCTTTTCTGGCTCTCTCCCCCATCCCATGGTGGGGAGTGAGTGTGTGGCTGTGTGGGGCTGAGCTGCTGACTGGGGTTAAACCACAAGCAGCTGTTAATGCCCCCAAAGTTAAACTATTTGAAGTATGAGCTGCCAGTTACTTAGAACAACCTAGAAATGACCTGTTAATCAAGACGGCTGTGCAGAGCCATCCCACTCTCCACCACAAAGAGCAACAGATCTGCTAGGGTAGCACTTTGAGGAAAAAGCACACCAAGAAGAAACAACATCCTCTCCAACAAACATTTTTATCCAGCTGCTCTTCTACTGGAAAAGCACAGCTTTGTTTGTTTGGTTTTCGTTTCTGTTGACAAGAACTCTCAAAGTTGAAAGTTGCAGCTCCTCCTATAATCACCTATTTTGAAGAAAAAACATGAAACAAGCCATTAAAACTACGCCAAGACCACTGTACTTCATCCCTACAGTCACATTAACTGAGTGGACAGACACTGGTAAAACATCAGCCAGTTATTTGCCAGACAGTGCCATGACACTGACAGAAAGCAAGACTGGAGGTTTAAGTCAGAAAGAAAATGAGAGATTCAGGAAGAATGGAGAACCTCATCATGCCAAGAGGTCAAAGGATTTTTACAGCAACTCACTTCTTTCCCACTGGAAATGGATAAGAAGTTTACAGGCTTCTGATCTTCAGAACAGTCCCTCGCACAAAAGGAGATGATTTCAAAGAACAGGGGCTGGATTACACAACTGTACATCACGGGCACGTTTAACAGGTCAAAGGGCCTCAAAAGATTAAAACATCAATGTTTGTCAAATAATGGCTTCTTCAGATAGCTATACCAAGACACCATCATTAGGCAGAGTTTGCCAGGTCCTAAAACCTCAAAAAACATTTGTGGAGTGCTGGATGGAGCTTTGAAATCCATCTCACATTCTTCTTTATTATGTCAACTTGCCCTTAAACCTTTAAGTGAGAGAGACAGGTGAATTTACAAAAACTGCTGTGGCAGTTATGGATTAGTATTGAATTACCATGATCAGCATGTGCTTAACCACCAGATCATCACCCCAGAGCGACCACTGGTGTGAGGGGAACTCACAAAGAGAGAAGGGAGGTTTGAACACCAAACCAAGGGTTCATCATTTTGCCAGGGTCTTCTCGAGCATTACATTTATGTATTTATACATACATACATACATATATATTTTTTAAAATGGTTGCTCCACCACCTACAAGGTATAACTGCACCACTCTAGCGACTAATACAGCAGAATACACATGGATAATATACAGCTGTTCCTGATTAAAGCAGTTAAAAGAACTTGAGGAGACTAGAAAAATCACAGTAAATAAAATACAAGAAATCTAGTGAAATTCATTGCCTTTCATCAGTTATTTCTTCATAATTTATTTGTTCAGCAAAGCATAAGACTAGAACTTAAAGGATAACACTTGTTAAATCTTCTGTACTTGCCAGGATTACTTCTGGTAAGTAGCATTTTTGTAAATTTGCATCCAATTAGTATATACAACAAATGTTGCTTATGCACAGGGGAACTCAGCTTCCTGGAAAACGTCCCTACAAATGGCCACCTGATTAGTCCCCATCAGGAGGAACATGCTGTATCTCAATAAGAAGACTGGGAGAAAAACAAATGGCAAAAAAGAGCAGTAGGCACAGCTATGACGCAGAGAGAACAGGAGTGTGGCTTTGCTCATTTGAGGCACAAATTCAAAAGGGTAGAAAAAAATCCAGCTTATCTGCCGAAGTCTTTTAATTGCATTTTTCAGGACGATAACTTAAACCACACATCATCTTTCTGGAACATAGGTGAAGTTTTCTGGTGCTCTGAACAAGTGATTTCAAGCACTGAAAATATCTGGATTCTAGACCTATTTCATACTCTTTCTGAATCATGTCACAAAGTAACTGATGACTTCAATCACACTGCAACACTGATTTTCTCCCCTGGATCAATATAAAACATTTCTAGATTAGGTTTTGGTGCTAGGAAGAATTTCATCACTATCAATCTTATTGACTGACAGCTTAAAGTACTTGTATATGAAGAATCCTAGATTTATCTTTAAACAAAAGTTTCCATGTGTACATATGGACTGAACTCCAAACAATCCATACTGCCAGATTGCTCACAAAAAATGGGAAAGAAAGGAGACAACAGAGCTATGAAGGGAGAGGGAGTGAGAACCCAAGAAGGGTCCTGAAGGCAAGAGTTCCTGGGTAGAAGCTGTGCAGAGTGCCAAGAGCACAACTGCAAGAATATTTTGCTTAAATACAGCCCAGAGGCACAAATATACAACTGAAGACTCAGCAGACATACACTCTTAAACAGCAAATATGTCACTTGCTGCTCTCTATTTTAGTGAGGAGACTTCACCTCAAATTATAGACTGAAATCTAAACCATAAGACTATTTTAAAATGCAATTCAAATGTTGCACAGTATATACTGGACACAGTATTTATCTGCCATATTTATAGAGCAACCTCCCCCTCAAGCTTCCTTAAGCATTTCACAATCATTTATTTGCAGTACTGCACAAATATGATCACTGCTGGGGTGGCTTCCAGAATAACCAGAGCACAGGATATCCCTCAGCAATTAACAAAAAAGCCAGTGCACATTAATGTGGGTGAGCATTATGTTACAGCCCAGCTCCCCCTGATTGTATTCAAGGACCTTACCCACATTCTACACTTTTGTAAGAAAACCAGCTTTTGTCTGTAAACCATTTCTCCACACAGCTCCAAGCAGCTCCCAGGACTGGTTCAGCCTGTGCACTGGATAAGCCAGAAGAGCTGATAAACACTTGGCATATGATTAAGACTGTTTCCATGCATATTCACAGGCAGGGTGAACTACATGTGTTTAACAATGCTTAGATTTTGGCACTTCTCCATTTTCTATGTCTTTGCAATCTCAGTAGATCCATCATAGCTGGTCTATGTCCATGTTTGTGACAGATGTTTGCTCTGTCTGCACTGAGTGACCTTAGGTACCTAAACCTCAGTGTGATGCAGGAAAACCAAAGTTAGAAGCACAAACTCCTTATATAGTAAAGGGAGAAAAACAAGTGCCTCCCGGAAAGGACTGATTTCATAGACCTAAGGTGATGACCTAAAGTGGATGTTGTGAAAACGTCCCTAAAGCAGCAAGTCTTTCCTATTTATTCTAAATATATATCTTTTTCCCCTCGGCAGTGCCAAAGGTCTGCTGAATTCACACAGATTTGATCAACACAAAAGGAACAGATGGTGGGAGGCCAGTGTTCAAGCATGTCTGGTTGTGTAAAACAGCACACACTTCCAATGTGTACATGAGGAAGCTTTGTGTGTGAAAGGGAGATGAATAGGAATTCATCTGAAAAAAAAGGAACACAATGGATATCATACAGGAAGTTTATAATGAGCAATTGAGACTGGGCCCTCAGGACAGAGTGCCACTGGTCACATATGTGGCCCAAAAGCCCACGCTGATAGGAATAGCTGCAGTCAGGCTGCTCCAGCCAGGAGCCACTTTGGAACATATGGCAAAACAAATGAGTCAATGCAATCTGCTCATTCTGCTGCTTCCCCCAAATATTGCTGTACTGACTTCCTCTGCTTTTTGCCTTATTACCCTGTTCCTATTTAAGAGCATGGCAAACACCTGCAGGGATGGCAGTGCCCTACAGGATTCCCAGCACACCAGGCTGCTGTGGAGGTTCTCAGACTGTTCCACAGATCAGCTCGAGATGTTTTGTGCCTGACTCCTGGGAGAGAAAGGAAGAGAAGGGAAAGCTGGAAGGTTTATGCTGTTTGCACCTTTTTCTTTCTCACAGGCAAAAATGGATGCATTCTCCCAGTACATCTCTGGATTTCACGCCAGGCACCCCAGCTCCCAACCAGCATCACTTACTTTTAAACTCTGTGAGGCTTACAACAAGCAGAAATTTTACCATCTAAACCTCTATTCCCATCCTTCAGCTTTCTAAAACATCTACCTTCAGGGCTATAATCTCCTGAGTCAAAAATCTCAGCAAACAATGGAAGGTTTGGGCTTTTTATGTTGAATTTTTTTTCCTTTTATAGATGTGGCTGTACACATAAATAAGCAAACACACTATCAAGCAGTGACGTCCGAGACATCAGTGTTGCCACAACTCATCCATCTATTGTAAGTCTTGCCATGTTTATTACTTTAAGAGCCACAGATTTCCCCCAGAATCAGACTGTACAGACTATAAAAAAAACTCTAGTCTGTTGTTTTTTAAAATTAACTTCTCCTAATGGCAAATGGAAGATGTTTGAAAACTTGAACTTTTAAAACTGAGACAGCAGGGAGTAAAAAACATATTCTAAGGTTTTCATGTACGTCTGTTCTGTAAAGCTTAGGTTTTAAAAACAAATCTAACCATTTCTGGGGATCTCAACTACACATACTCAGGCTGACAGACTGCTCTTGGTTTCATTGAGGTTCTTTTCCTGGTTCTGTCAGTAACCTGCTGTGTAACCTTGGGCTACTCTCTCTTCTCTGTGCTCTGCCTTCTCTTTTCTCTCTTCTTTCTTTGTCACTGTTTGGGTCACTAATCATGTCCCTTTGAAGCTCTAAACATGGACCTTGGCACATTGTAAGTAGTCTATTAAAACAATGGGACTGCTTACAAAGAACATTTATACATATAGTAGTATTATATATAAAATAATACCTAGATTTAACAAATGGAGTTTTGTGTATGTATGAAAATACATTAAAACCACTGAAAGCTTGTTATTTATCTGTATCTACTGCAACTACACACAATTGTTTTCCTTTGACATTTCCATTGCCAGCTCCAATTCTGTTTCTTATCTACAGAGATACATCCTGTGGGGCACAGTACCATGTCACAGTGCAGCTCCAGGTTTAGGTCTCCTTTATTGGTGTGAAGTCGCACATATCCCTTCTTCTTCACATACTGGTACCTCACAACATCATCTTCAATAGCAGCTGTAGCAAAGGAAAAGACAAACAATTAGCTCTCTGGAAGCTTACTCACTGATCTCTAGACATCATCAGAAAACAATTCCCCTGTCTGACCTCTTCCCCTGGGTACTGGGTCTTCAGGGATTGTATCCTGCAATTTATCTCCAATAACCTCATATTAATCTCTGTGCAAAACACTTTCCATTATAGAAAACCACCAACTCCTTGAGAACCAAAAATATAATCTATATTTTAAATCAGAGAAGCATTTAGTATTACAAACTATAATTTTCAAGTAATGTCTACCAACCACAAACTTTACTTTGAAACCAAATTTTTTCTTGTCAGTCTTGGAAGTCAAGCAGGTAGTCATCAGTCAACCACAAACTGCTGACATACAGAGACCTACCCAGTTCTGAAAACAAATGAAGCTGCTACTGGACATTTCTGGAAAGTCAAACCAAAGGATCAATCTAGGATGTTTCCATTTCCATTTCCATTTTGTCAAAATGTCCAGTTAGTCAGATATTTTCAATACTTAAAAAGTCACCTGCAAATCACTGTAATACACCAAGTAAAGGAACTGAACTTGGGAAACATGCTATTCAATCTTTGCCTAAGTGTGTGATGTCTGAATTTTAGTGCCCAAAGCCAGACCTCTCTCTTTAACTGGAAATACTAACCACTCAGCTATTTAATCAATATCTAAATTAAATAAATTTTATACGTTTTTGTTTAGGCTGGAGAATAAAAGGAAAACTTTATTGTACTAAAATGCATTTTCATGTTACCTGGAAAAGCAGTGAATCAAAAGTTATCACCACAAAACTTGCTGTCCTTCTAACCAATACTGAGGTAGGCCAAAAAGGTGGGCAAGACTTTGTATGCTATCTGAGTAAAGATTATACTTCATTCCTAACTTACATAAGGGAATATCTCGCTTTGTGGTCCCCAGGCATAAAAAATGTCCCATTAATTTCCATTCAGCAAAAGTAACTGCCATTCAAAGCCAAAGCTAATTCATAATTGCTCCATTATTTTCAGAATGAGCTCACTGGAAAGTAAGTCTGTATCTGCTTAGGGAATACATTTCCATGGCATTGGTACTGCCCAATCATCAGTGCATTCCTTCAGTCCTAATCAGTGTGTGTGTGCCAAGGAGCACACTTGAAAATGGAAGGTAGGGAGGGGCTCTGGTACCTGCTTCGTGAGTAGTTTCAGGCACCATTGCAGTGGAGGTGAAGGAAGCACTTACAGCTCCAGTGGAATAGTGAGCCTGTTTGCAGAGGAAAAAGCACATGAAAAAGGCATTAGATCTTAGAATTTATCTCCTAAAGATACTATATAAGCACTAGAAACACACAAATGTCATCCTTCTGAGGGCAAACTTTCTGCTCCAGCTCCTACTGACAGAAGCAAATATCCAGAGCAGCAATAATTCTCCATCTGCTACCCCAACATGTGCTCTGATGAAACTGGAGTTAAGGCTGCTCATGAGCTGAGCCAAAGGGGCTTAATGTTTCCACTACAGTTTAATACATCACTATGCAAAGATTCTATTATGAGAATTTATTTGTATGTCCACAGGTGGAGATAGGAAAGGAGCACTGCTGGCAAGACATCTGTAAGTCTCCAGTGTTGCTGAGTGAGTGGAAGGAAACCAGTGAAGCACAGAGATAGCACAGGGGACAGCAAAGCACCCCCTCCCACACAGGGCCCCTCTGCGAGCACAGGCTCTGTCCCACGGCTCCCACTGTCTATTTTGAGCCCTGTAATTCTTCTGCAGAAAGGAAATGTTAACGTCACACATGGATTTTGGAGTAAATTACAAAGATCTAATAAACCCTGAGACAGGTTTAGCAGCTTTGCAGCAACGCCTGTAAAGAATCCAGGCCAGGCCAGTGCTCATTCCTCAAGGTTTCACTGCACCCTAAGGAAGTTACAGCCATGCCCATCCACCTCATCAGCTGACAATCCCACTCCCTAACATGTGAGAGCTCACCACTGTCTCTCCCCTCCTTTTCTTCTCCCTACATTTTTTTTATTATAACACAACAATGCCCTGAAAAAGGAGCAAATGTGATCCTCCTTGGTCACATCCATTCCCTAATCCGTCCCTAAGCCTGCTCACTAAGAGCTGTAATCAAAGCAAGTAGGCACACACATCCCAGAATTATTAAAGGGCAGAATACTCTGTCTTGCCCATTACAAACAGCCTTTGATGTAGGAAACTAGATGTAGATGAATTATTTCTCTTGAGAACCATGAACACAGAGTAACATGCACCTGTAAGAACATCCTTTGAAATACTCCACTAAAATCCTGCATTCCAGTGGAAAAAGAAATGGAGAAGCAGCTGTGGATGATTTATATATTTGCCCACACCAGAAATGATTCACTTGCACTGCCCTCAAGGTGTGCTCTCTCTGCCAATAACTGCAGGAAGCAATGATAAACAAATTCAAAGTGAGAGATTACAACCTGGGAAAAAGGTTCTGCCAACATACACATCATAACCACATCATAAGGATTCTTCTTCTTATTGTGCTCCAGTTCTCAAATGTGTGGGTTCATTTACAATGATTTAACAAACAGAAACTCACTGACACATACAATGCTGTTCTAAGGAATCCCAATACGATTCTCAGATTTTCATCTATGACAAATTTCCATGTGACAGAAAACAGAAGGAGCAGTGTCTGGTTATGCTGCAATACAGCCCCTAAGCTGAAAAACATCTATTACCATTCTTGAAGAAGTCAGTCAGTGCCAAACTGCAAATTAAGTCAACTTACTGCATTCAGCTTATCCACTTTCTTTTTTTCAGGAGCCTTCATAGTAGCTGCTAAAATATCATCACCTTTGAATTCCTTATAAAGCTCCAGTAAAGTCTCTCGGGTCTCTGTGTTTGTATTTTTCAAATAGTAAGATGGATCCAATTTTGCTTTTTCTTCATCTAGGTAAGACAAAGTTAAATCACTTCAGAGTTAAAAGAAACACTGTATTTTGTTCTCCTTCAGTTTATTACATATCTAATCACACGAAACTCTGCCAGGTATTAATTCTATTTTTTTTAAAAAACAAAAAGGTTTAGTTACTATATTTATTCCTGCAGACAGTGACAAATAGCAACACTTATGACACTGTAATATAGTGTTGCTCGAAATATAGCACAATAAATGCCAATATGATGTACATGAAAAGAAAAAAATAATTAATCCAATTACCATAAAAATTTATTTGAAACCATGAGAAATTACCTAAGTCCATTCAAGCCTTGGAAAATTTTTATAGAACAATAAAGGCAAAATACAGTTGGATACAATATAGACTTCTGTTCTTCATCTCCTCACTGAATGGCCAGGCCTATGATGCAAAAATCCCAGGATCAGATCTTCATGTGATACTGGGGGAGGAGGCTGCTGGACTGGACTGTAGAATTTGATTTATTTAGTTTTTAATTTTATTTTTTTAATTTTTAAAAGTTTCACTTGTTCTCTATCTTGATATGCCTACTATTTGCTAGATATTATATATGCCATTTCTGAGATAATACCCACTTATTCTGAGCAGGTAAATAGAAAGAGATGCTTGCTTGCAGAACAGTAGATAAGAAAACCAAAAAAAACCCCAAAACCCAGATATGAGCATAATAAGACCCAGAGAAACACACTTTGCTTAGAATTAGCAATTAGACCTCATTAGAAACAGGTCTATAGGAACCCACAAGGGCAAAGGAGAGAATTTTTTTCCTTCAGCAGTTTAATATTAGCAGATATTACTAAGCATTTAGCTATCAAAAAATCACAAAATAAATGAGAATCAAATGTCTAAGATATGTAGAAAAAAAGCATTGTATTTTTCACCAAAACCATAATTTTGGGATTATTTGAGAAAAATCTTACTTGGAAGATGCCCATTGTTCTCAAGTCAGAAGGATGGGCAATACATTGCTGATAAATATGAAGGAGGTCTAGCAGAGGAGCGTGAGAAGAGGCAGGTTCCCTTGCCTTGGTTCTGGTACGAGGCTAACAGGCCTCACTTCTCTCTCATGTACCCACTCACTCTGAAAGGGCATGGAAAGCTTTCCCTGTTTGCACAGCACTCAATAGAGACAGTTAAGGAGTTCTCAAAGAATCATGTCTTTGCTTCAGAATATGTTTACACTTTTTGATGTGCAAGGGACAGATTCCACAAGTTATTCATGTTTCCAAGAAACTTTCCAAGCACCAGCCATTGAGGGATGTCCATCCAGAAAACAGAGTCAATGCCACATTTGGGCTGGGGTTTTCTCAGCCCACCTTCGTTTCATCCTTACCTGGATCAACTACTTTTATGTTGTTCTTAACGTGAAAGAAGTTTGAGACGTTGAACTTATCCAGGTTGGTTGGATCCTGAAAATAATAATTGAAAAAAGAAATGTCAGAGAGCTTGGTGGGCACCAGTTCCTTGCAACAGACTAGTCTGAAGGGCAGACACCACCATAATAAAAGAACAGGGGGACACAGAACAACTTCCATCCTCCCCAAACCACAGAAAGATAAAAAAATACAAAGCCATCAACCCCAACCAACATCAGCAATGAGCCTGTTCAGACTCCTGAGGGGTCTGCAACTCAGTTCCAAACACAGTATTACACATATATTGCCTACAGAAGTTCCTAACAGAACTGAGCTGTCTACCCTGTCCTAGTGAGAAGAAAGAACAAGGAGCTGCAATCCCCTGATTCTTTCCTTCATTCTGTGGTTTGGTCAAATGCACATCAGCCACCTCCTTCTATTTATAACCCTGTGCCTGATTTGCACATGCTCTCTGAAGTTGCAATGCATTTCAAAATACAAATGAACCTCAGAGCAAGTCTCTGCAGTAAGAACTGTTTTGACAGTTGTGGGTTTTTTTCCACTAGTGCCTACAGAATTATGTTTAAAAACAAAAAAAAGCAACAAAAATGCTCTTATGAACTCAATTTAGTGACTACGGGAGGAAAACAGCAAAAACACACAGTCCATTAACTGGGAGTCTTTGCACTATCTCTAGGCAACTTCCTGCAAAACTCTGACCTTTTGTTAGAAAGAGTGAGACAAGGAATGCCTACTGGTGATCCAGGTTACATTATACTATTATTAAACAGTCCTTAATCCTCTTCTTACAATTACTTCAAGATTTTCTCCTCAAGCTCCTCTGGAGCACAGAAAGGTCAAAACATCAGTCCAGGACACCCAGTCATTTATGGAAATTCTATTTTACAGAAAACAATTCAAACTAAAATACCAGAGTAACAGAATAATATGCAATAGTTTCAAGGTCAGGGTAAAAACAATGCAACATATTATGCAAAGAACTATGACCTGACATGAATAGTATTATATACACTATATATTATCCCAAACAAATTTAACAAAACTTCTCAGACCACCAGTGTTGAAGTTCTGACAATTCCATCTGTGCTAAAAGAAATGTGTAATACAAGCAGAGCTGGGAGCTCCATAATTTATTAAGTGATCTAATTATGCCTTTTATTCACCCCTCCAACAGATCTTCATTGAGACACGGACTGCCAAAAAATTACAGCTTTTCTCTTTAAGAGCTTGCATTAGACACAGACAACCTTTAAATTAAACTACTAAGAAATAGGAAATTTGGACCTGTTTCTTAACCCTTTAACCATTTTTGTATCCTCTGACACCAGCACTCTGACTCCTTGCAGACCACAGCCATCCATCTGCTTTCCAGGAGATCTGAGACAACTGCAAACCCCAGAAATGAGACTGAGGTCTCCTGCACAAGGTCCTCCATCACATCCACATGGGCCATCTGTTGAAACGGAAACCTTACAAAGGTTTGGTTTCCAGCATTGCCCCTTGTATTCCTGATTCTGCAAAGCAAGAGTCACCACACACTGAGAAGGGGGACAACCCATGCACCTACTCCAAAACAGGTTTCCCTCTGTCAGTGGAAAAAACCCTCACAAATAGTTCCTCGAGTTGAAACTTGAGTATCATCTTACACAGGACACCTGGGACATATTTATTCCTCCCTCTAAAACACAGCATCATGATACACTAGGAGAAGTTTGATTAGAATTAGCATGGATTAGAATTAGCATGCTAAGTGTGAGAGCAGTGCAGTGAACGTTAAGCACAAGACACCATTTGTTTCTATCACCCCCAAGAGCAGAAACACATCTGACCAGTCCAACCTGTGCTGCAGAAGACACAACCCATTTCCTCACTGACGGTACCGAGTCCTACAACGGGAGAGACACATTTTTTGAAGGTAGGACTACCTAACTTTTAGAAGTGTGCCCAGTCTTTAGACATATCACTTCAGGAAGAAAACTGTCTAAACACTAATAGTTAGGCTGCCAAGCTCCGTTCATTGCATCCCTGACAGCTACTGGGCACAGAACCAGAGCAGTCTGAACGAGAAGCCGCAGGGATGGGCAGATGGATGGACCCACACCATCAAAGCCTCAAGCTCCTGGTCAGAGAAAGGCCAGGCTCGTGGTGATGTTCCCAGTCCTGTTAAGATTAAGGACTAGAGTTCAAAGACTTTAAATAAGTTCTGTGTAAGTGCACAAAACCAAAGCAGAAGATGAACCATGAAGAGTAACTTGGCCTACTTTTGTTTGTCTTAGCATGTCTAAAAATATGCATTCAAATCACCATGGTTGGCAGTCTCAGGGCTTTTCTTATTAAGGTTACAAACCATAAACTCCTGTTTAGCAAACCACTAGCACAGATAAAGACTTCAAAGGGTTGCTAACTATCATGACTATTAAAAGTCTCAAATTTAATGTTTTCCAGAAAGCTAAATTACGCAAACTATTAATTTCAAGTTTTATTCCACTTGTTTTTTTCCTGTCATTTTCTGGTTTTACCTACTTAGGGAAACAGCTTAAACTCTGTTAATCTTAAGCACCATACACACAACTTGCCAAAAAGCAGGTTAAACCCAGCAGTTTTAGACCGTGTGATTTCTTGGAGGCCTGATCCCCCTCCTACCATGTGGTTGGCCGTGCTGGATCCCTCATTATTCTCAGGGCTGTCACCTTCACATGTGACCACGTCCCGCTCCTTTACCAGCTCCTCTGCACACCCACTGGCACAGGGTTGGCCCTCCCAGAGCCCTCACCCACAATTGTGAGGAAATCTGCTCTGACCTTCTGTCGCACACAGAGCAAAGAGGAATGGCTGGGGAGTGAAATATCAATTAACAGTGTGCAGTTCAGCCACCTCCAGCTCTGCTCATCAGCTCTGCTTCCTGCCACAAATGTCAGTGCTGTTTAACAGCTTGTTGGGAACCACGTCTTGTCCACAGCTGATTGGGTTATACAGAAACAATAAAAGTGACATATGGAAGCACATAACAGTATGAGCCTTTCAATTTTTTCCTTTAACAGCAGCAAATCTGGTAGCATTTATCCACACCCTTTTTTCTTTTCTTCTTTTTGCCCCTCCACTTCTGCAGTGCAAAGAAGATGCATTTTTTAGCATGGATCTACTAGGGAAGACTCTCTGCAGGCTGCCAGCAGAGCACTGTGCCTGCTGCCACTGGCACAACAGGGCTACACTGCAATTCATCCAGCAGAGAGGAACACACCACGTCTGCTCTGCTGTACCTGCAGCCACGAAGGTGGGTTAGGGTTAGGGTCATTTAAAAGAGATATGAACTGGGAGAGATGGGAGAAAAATTATATGAAATAATGATAAACTGTAAGGAAAGAGAAACTTGGACAGTGTAAGACCTGCACTGCAGAAGATGGAAAGTTTGACTTGAGTTTGTGGCAAGATCACAAAGCCAAGAAATGGAAATTTCAACTTTAAAGTAAAGAGCTAGAGTCTAAAGTAGGCAGTCATACCAGGAGTGCTGGTGTCCAGGAAGGGCATCATATGGAACAATGTCACATGTATTTCTGGCATTATCAGCAAGACATTAAATGAGAATCCATGGCCTCTTTTGCCTGAATAACTGCACTCCAGTTCTGGTAATCCATCTCACACCCCAGGGTCTGGTGTTACTCGTTACCTCCTGCCCTGCATGGCTGGATAATATCACCATATGCTGAAGAAAAACTGCCACACTACCCCAGGACATTTGCATTTCAACAGGGGAAAAAGCAATTTCTGTATGTGGATGTGCAGGAAGCACTGAGGACTCCTTTGCAAAGACAAGAACATCATAGATGTAAGACAGTATTATTAACAACTAAAGTTGTGCTTTTGCTTTTTTTAGTTTCAAATTAAAAAAAAATGCCTTTTTTAACAAGTAAACTTTATAGCAATAGGACACAAAATTCAAAGCTACCAGTTGAGATGGTGCTTAGCAGAAAACATAACAGGGAAGGATTATGATTGGTGTTTGAATAACGTTTAGCACCGAGAACAGAAAAATAATATTATGCAATTATGTCTCCTCTGAAAAAAGCAAATTTTTTTGGGTTTTTTTTAAATTATATATATTAGGACAGAGAAGCCAAGTTTGAGGTCGACTGCTATTCTGGTAAAAGAACACCCCTAGCAGCTGTAGGAATTCCCTTTATGTATCAATAAAGAAAAATGTGATGATACAAATAATCTGTAAACACACATTATTTATATTTTCCATTTATCATGTTGTATTTCACTACCAAACACAGGTATGTACCTCATCTGTTTCCTAGGACATTCAGAGTCAGCCTCTGGAAATGCTAATTTCTACTGCTAACCACACTATTACAGACAGCCCTATTCAGCTGATATTTGCAAAGCAAAGAATGTTTTTCTAGCAACTTCCTTTATATCTACTTTTCTGCCAAACAGCAGGGTCAGTGATACCAACTCACTCCCAATTGCAGCTCTCTTGGATACCACAGTGCTCAATTCACATGGGGGAGTGGGAAAACAACAAAGGGATGAATTTCAACCCAGAACCGAGGGGTTTTTAAGAGAAGCAGGATTTGGGACAGAGCTCTGGTGAAACACAGAAACACAGCAGATTGCAGTCATGAACTCTGGCTAAGGAACAGAGCCACAGGTGGCACAGCTTGGCAGTGGGGAGCCACCACGCTGCCTGCAGGGTTGTCAACAAGAGAGCCTGTACAGCAGGCATCAGGCTGGCTTTCAATAATTTATAGGAAGAAAATATCAGGAGAAAATAACAACACATTTCTATATCACATACACTCAAGCAGTTTTAGTGCCCACACTAGTCATGCCACTTCAGGTTGAATCCTGGCCTCACCAGAGCAAGTCAGAGCAGGGCAGCATTTGAACAGGAGAAATCAAGTTACATATGCAAGTTTGCAGTGGGTGATGTGCAGTGCAGGAAATGGTTCTTAATTCTCCTTCAACACCCTGAAGTCATTTTAGTCTTCTTGAAAACTCTTCTTGAAAAAAATAATTAAAAACCAATTTGGTGAAGGTCAAACTTTATCTGGTCATACAGATGGTCAAGTCTCTTCCAGTCCCATTCCAAGATGGGGCATTTGCTATTTCTAAATTTATTTAGGAAGAGTATAGCACTGCAGAAGTTAACAACAACCCCTAATGAACTGTTTCCTTCAGAGGAACAAATCTACTCACACATTACTGATGCCACCTTAACAGGGTGTGAGAGGGGCAGGCAGTGCATGGCCGTGCCCTCCTGGCACCCAATGCCCCAGTGACTGCCCAGCTACCAGAATATACTTGGTTTGTGCCAAGTTATTCCTCTGAGTGAGACAGAAACATGTCAAGAACAAAATGAAGATGAAAAGTAGTGATAAAAACCCACACAGGGAATAACTAAACTGCTAGCTGCTGCCCTTTGAGACTTAGGGGACTAGAGCATCTGTGAAAAATCAAGGCTAGGCAAGTAAGAAGAACACACTCTTTACACATACATTCAATTCCAACCCTATAAAACACACAAAAATACTTTTTTAGTGACTGCACATTTCAATTATTTTTTCAAAATAACTTCATTTTCCATACTGCTGCCCAGACACATTTTTAGCCATTCATGTTGTCCTTTTTTATATTTCCAAATCCATTACCAACCATGCAGTTATAATGAAATTGCATTCTGTTGGGAACTTTTAGTCTGAAAAAAGATCTTCCATTTTTTGCTTCCATTGGATTAAAAACATTTTACTTTGTTGCATTAGCTTGAACAGCAACAGGCCCAAAGGAACAGAGTAAAAATATTTAAAAACATGCTGTGAAGCACTGGGGAGTAGGGAAGAAGGGCTACACTTAATTTAAATTTAGACATAAATGAAAAATATTTTTCTATTTGAATTAGACTGTATTAGTCTTGGTTAGTGGCAATGAACTGTTCATGAGATGCATACTAACTCGTGATTTCTATAATAATGATCCTGGAATCCTTTTTCCCCTGTTTTCAAATCATGCAAGCTTATAAGTGCCTGCTTTTAAACTAAAGTTTTAGAACTTTTGATACTAAACCTCATCTGTAAATAACTGTCTTTTACAGTCTGAAGTTTATACTGTTGTTTTAATTTCGTTTTTAATTCTTTTAAAATTAGTAAAAGACCAACATTGGTATTTATTAAGAAGAAAAACATTCTGAAAAAGCATTTAGAGAAAATACTCTGATTTGCTGCTTATTTTACTCTCCTTTAGAGAAACACCCTATAGAAAATGCTTTTCTGAAGCTTTGACTCTTTTAGACATCTTCAAAAGAGTGAGATGGACAATCAACTTCAGTCTTAATGCAACATGTCAACTTCCTAAAAGTTTAAACACTTCACATTCTAACCCATGTTTCTTTTGATGCCACAGACCATGTAGGACACCTCACTACTCTTCCAGACTGTTACATGGCATCGTTGGAGCTCACCTGGATACCAAAGAAAATACAGCAGAGCTTCTCTGTTCAAGCATTCTAGTTTTCTGCTAGAACAGTGGAATAGCAACCTTTCACCTGCTGCAAAAAATCTGGTTTTATATCGAGCTGCGTGGTACAACAGGTAACAGGGAGCAAGTTTACCTGCAGTGTCACAATGTCCTGCCGAGTGAAGGGCTCGTCTGTCAGGAGATCCTTGTAGCTCTTTGGTTTTATGTTCAGCTGCTCGACTGCCTAACAGCCAGGCAAAGACACTGATATTAAAAATGGGATTCTCGTGTGTAAATATTACAGTAAATATGTGCTATCAATAAACTCTTACAGTACAAATCATAAAGAAACAATTTCACCTCATGCAATATTTTCACTATGTGCTTCAACAAACAAGAGGCTTTTGTCTCTCATCCCTACAGAACTTGACAGTTTTGTGTGGCTTGATGATTTTTTTTAAAAAAGAATCTTGCAGTCTCCGTTTAAATCAAATTAATCATAAATGTACTGCCAAAATAAGAAAGATCTTGCTTTCAGTTTTCTAAGCTCTTATCTGCAAAAAAACGCCAGAATCTGTCTTATTCACCCAAATGTCCTGTGTCCTCCTCAGATGACAGTGATAATATTTTTCTAGTACCTCTAGAAGTCCCTAAATTAATTCCATGCTTATAACAACCCAAGAAATGCTTTTGCTTCACGTGGTGCCACATGGGACACAGACCCTCTTGGCACAGCTCCTCCAGGAAGCCCAGGCCTGTAAACTGCAGCAAACAGAGCAGTAGTTCTGCAGTACTGACAAGGGTTTACAGAGACCACTCTTCAACTCACCCCTGCCTTTTGACCACAGCAATCAAAGCCCTGTGCTTCTAGAAGGAACAGAGAATGCTTCCTATCTGAACCCAATCTGGACTGCTCTCACAGCTGGAATGAAGACAGTTCAGTTACATCTGAGCAAGTTTTCAAAAAGCCCTTCCTTGATTGTAATGGTTTCAGTTTGTTCCTCTCTCAGTGTCTGAAAGTCCCTCCAGAATTCAAAAAACGGATGTTTCAGTGTTCAGACTTTTTACAACTCTGGATATGGATTCATTAATTGAAGAATTTATTTGCTATTGAAAAATAAACATTGCTTTTACAGTAAGGATTATGCAAAGATAAAATTCCACTCAGGTTCACAGAAATGTTCACAAAACTCAAATGCAAATGCAGTTCAAGTGTCTACTAAGGCATTCTCTCTGCTATTCCCCCAGCTCCACCTAAAATAGCCTTTTTTATTCATTATGATATGAGTAGAAATTAGGCAATTTGTATTTTGCTGATGACAGCAGAAAGAAGACAACAGAAAACTTGTCTTTTAATTCAACTGAGGAGCATATAAAAGCTACTCATATTGATCTACAAGATTCAGTGCATGCAGATTAACTTCAAAAAAGGTTTTAAAAACATAATTAATTCATATTCTAAGGTTGTTCCTATTTTGATAGCAAAGGTTGGACAAAAATTTGTGAAGTTGGTTCACCTCTTTAATTTCCCTGGCAGTAAAATAAGAATAAAATCTACCTGTCTTTCTAAAACATTCTGTGATCTTGAATGAAATGCATCAAGTATAAAATATTAATAACGAAATGCAAGAGAACCTACCTCATAGGCAAATACATTTCCAGTAGTCTTGATGGCCACAATATGGGAGTTATTGGTGAATACAGTGAATAGCACTGGACAGTGGTACTTGCCTGATAGAAGGTAAAAAAGTTTAAATTTCACATGAAGACTTGCAACTGTTTGGAATAGCTAATTTCTCTTATCTCTGTGGAGAATATTTACATTAATTTTTAATATGAAGTGTAACTTCAGTGTATTTAATGGCGTTTTAACAACATTTTGATTCTCCAGTGGCAGATAAAGAGCTAGAAAAAGTAACACTTCAGAGAACTATAAAACAAGCAAGTTTTGAAATCTACTGCCTTCAATCCCCCGACACAGAAGTTTGTCTGACTTGGCCGACATCTGAGCAGTACCAGCCTATAACTGCTGTTGTTGTAACCAAAGACCTACTGATAACATGAGCCTGTCCCCTGTACCATGGCCAGTGCTCTGCAACACTCTTGTTCCCAGGAATAAACGTTTAGCTTCTATCCTACAGAAGAGTTTGCAGCAGCTGTTGTGCTTTTAGGAGAGGGGAGCATTTGTATTCAACTGTGGCAAGTAGGATGCCATTAAATTTGAACACGTTACTCAAAAGGAACCCAGCTTCTGCTCTAATCAAGCTGTGAATTTTCCCAGGAGGGTCAGCATAAATATTAAACATGTCAACAGCAAGCAAACTGATGGGGGGCAATGTAGGAGGAAAAAGAAAGATGTCTGGATGATCTCAGCAGAAAGCAATTAGAAAAAGATTATTAATACTTGATCAGTTTGCTAGACCTGGGGGTTTTGGGTGAGATTTTTGAAATAAGTTGGGCCTATTTGGCTCTTTTTTCTCTAATTACCACTTGAAAATCCAAAGCAGCAGGGAGGCCAGAACAGGCTGCTGACAGCACCTGCAGACAGGAGAGACAAACACCCCCCGAGATGGACCAGGAGACACCCACAGAGAGCCAGAGGCAGCTCCGAGCCCAGCACGGGGTAAACCTGGGCCTGGCTCTGCTCCTGCCACCAGAGCTGAAGGAAAGGCACTGCCACCAGGGACTGACACTGAGAGGGAGGTTAGAAAGGGATTTTTGGAAGTGGCCTCAGGGTATGGCCCAACTGATGGACACAGCAAGACACTGGTACAATGTGAGGGCTCCTCCAGCTGCATAACAAAGAGCAAAGGCCCATGTTCTCAGTTCTAGCAAAAGCAAAACTACCTGTTGAGCTGGATAGAAGGCACTCAGCTCAGGAGGGATCATTAAATGGAAGAAACTGCAATACCAAAAGATCTTTTATATCACACAGGTGTGAACAGAGAGGATCCTCATATGTAGCAACCATCCTACATGCTAAGATTTAAAGAAAAGTTTGCTGATGCACAGAAATACAACATGTTAATTTTCCTCTTTTGTTGCATTTTCCCTTGATCAATTAATGCCACAGAATGCACCCTCTTAAGGAAAAGGCTTCTGGCTGGCTGTCGTCATTCCACACCAGCATTATCAACTGGACTCCTTTAAGGAAAGCACAATATCACAGTATTTTTCAAAAACCTTGGCCACAGAAACTATTGATCAATTTTTAACACCCTGCTCTTGAGACAGATGGAACACAAGGTGCAGAAGAAATCCATCAGCTACAGAAAAAGCTTGTAGTCCATGGACTTTGGTAAGACAAGGAGACAGACACTCCAGAATTTTATTCCCACCTAATCTTTGCCACTCATTTCAAAGAAATCATTGTCTGCTCTGTAGCAGATGAATTCATCTCCACTCTTCTCTTTTGTTCCCAGCATCCTCTCTTAGATGGCAGATTTTTTATCTTGCAGAAATAAAACTCGAGGCTGCTGTCTTGTGTGCTTCTACTCATAAAATCCCACATGTTCATTTAAGTCTAATCCCTTTTATAAACAAAAACCTGTTCAAAACCAAGTGAACAGCAAATATTGCCATAGGCAAGTTAGAAATAAGATAACATTACAGAAATTTGGCCTTTTCTGATTCTTTCCTTAAAGTAAACAGTACCTTGCTGCAGTAGCAGCTCTAGTGAAGTGAAATTGCTGAATAATTTACAGCTCCCCAGTGTAAAGAAAAACAGAAATTGAACTTTAAAGGTAAACATATCACTCATGAGAAGTTATTCTACTCAAAAAATAAAAACCATGATAGAGAACAAAAACTACGTAACTTTACCATGAGTAAGATAAACTAGAATTTATTAAAGCACTCATTAAGGAAAAAACCCCAAAAGACAACAAAACACCATCACAGAAAATGACTGCACTTACCTTCACTGTTTTTAGCAAAATTCAGCTTTATAAGTGATTTGGCATCTAGTTTCTAAAGAAAATGAAGCATTAAAAAGATTAATCACAACAGAATGTAACTAAGGAAATAAAAGGAAACTGTAACATCACTGTTAGGATTTTAATAGTACATAATTTATGAATAATATTTTGCAAGTTGTCTGAATCATCAGAACCCTGGGAATTTAAGTCACAGACAGCCCACCAAAACAAGACTCCCAGAGCCTGAGAACTGGGATACACTTGTTTACAGGGCTGTATTTGACACAGTACAGTGCCAACCACAGGGAATAAACTGAAGAAGTTGCACTGTGTCTTAGCACAAACTGAAAGGGGACTTTGCATGGACAGCTAAGAGGCAAAGATCATTGCTGCCTATCAGAAGGGGCAATTCAGCTGGGACCAAACCATAAAGCCACCAAACCATTTTGGCAATCAAGCTTGATGCCTTTTCTGAAATAACTGTAATTTTCCTTTTAGTCAGGAAATGTGCAGTAGAGCCCACATGATAACTAGCAATAGTGAAGAGAAATGGAGCATAAGTTCTCTAGAGAAGCATTTGAGGTCATGAAGGGAGTCCCAGGAGAGATTTTCAGCCACTTAATCCCCAGGTAACAGCTCCATGGAAGAGGGAACTGAGATGGCAGCTGAGGTTGGGATAATCTCCAGCTCTAGAGCGGACACTGCAAACTAAGGTAGTTCCTGCTCTCCCACCTTCATCTGAAGGATCTCTGTGGCATTTTCTGCTGCCCTCTCTCTGCAAAGGTTTTCTGACAGGGCAGGGAAGAACTATCAAGCTGGCAAACACTTCTGGATGATCAGGCTGCTCCCTCCCTAAGACACGAAAGCTGCAAACACACCCAAAATAACAGTGAGTCTTCAGTAACATGACAGGGCAGGCCCACGTATGCCAGTCATTCCATAGGGTCACTCTGTGATTTGGGCACATCACTGGCATGGCAGGGCATCCCACAGGGCATCCCACAGCCCGCTGGGATGCTCAGGCAGTGCTCCACTGGGGCACTCAACTGGAGACAAACGTCCAGCCCAGCAAGCTCAAGGCTGAGCCAGGATCTAAGACCTATAAAAAACAAACCCTTTGATTGTATCAGTCAGAAACTGTCAGAGACACTTTCACTGCCAAATTGATCATTAAAAGCACACACAGCACAGGGCATTTAAAGAACGAATCGGTTCTCTTCTCAAAACATGCACCTGAAGAGATTAGGGAGGTTTTTATACCACAGACAGCTCTTTATAAACAACTCTGAGTGGAGATCTGCCAGCCAGGGGGGCCAACACTGCTGCTCCGATCACCGTGGCAAAGAGTGGTAACAAAATCACGTGAAACTGAGTCAGTGGGCTTTTTGTGCCTAATCAAAATCCATACTCTCAGCTCCGAGTGTACACATCGTGACAGCTGGACTCCCTCCTTTAGAGGAAGGCACTTCTCAAACTGCTTCAACCAACTGGCAGGCTCGTGTGCTGCCAGAAGGGTAACCATCTCTCTAATTTATTAGCATGAAGAGCAATGAGGCTAGTAGGAATAAGATGGGAAGGGAAAAAAGAGGCAAGGCTAGGTTATATTTAGTTATGTGGTGGAAGACCAGTGCTGTTTTTCCTTAAGTGGATTCTCAAAAAAACCCCCAAAACACTCCAGTTATCTGCCCACTACTAGGGTACGAAGGACAGCAAAGGCAATGGCAGCTTCTGAAATGACTAAGTGAATGCAGAGCTTTATTCATTTATTTATCTTCTTACATGAACAAAATTATCAGAGAAGTACTAGGGGAACAGTAGAGTTGCCAAAATGAACATCTGATCCTGGACAGATCTGTTCAACCTAAATAACTATTAACACAAAGCAGCATCCATCTGTGCATATGTTGTGCAACAACCCAAAACTTATGTTTCAGAAAGTTTCTTTAGAAATACAACCACTGGAAACACTGATAATTTGAAGGAAAGTCCTTAAACTGCCTTCTTGGCAGCCCTGAGCTATGCCCAAAACATATGAGCAGATCATCTTTAAACAAAAATGGAAACAGTTCCCTAAGAAACAGTTTAGCATGACTGAAGATTCAGATTTAGACCTTGACAGAAATTTAGCAGAAAAGACAGACTAAACTGCCATGCAGACTTCCAGGGCAGCAAAAGCTGCAGTGCACTGTTTCATCTGGCAATGTAGGATGTATCATCAGAAGTGCTGTCAAGCCCTTGGACTCTGACTCCATACCCAGGGAAATCATATGGTATTTCAGGTCACATCTTTCCATAATAGGGAAAAAGGCTATTTTTCAGCATCAGTTACTCATGGTGCATCAGCTGCTTGTGCTGGATCTGCTCCCCACTGAGACCAGCACTTACACGACAACAGTAAATAAAAAAATGGTGATTGTCAAGGAGGAGTTGAGATCTGCACACTGCCTGGAGTCTGCTTCCAGGGTGGGAACTCTGTAGTGAAATGCTGTATGACTACTATAAACTTTGATTGCTGCAGACTGGCCTCCCAACAGGCTCATGCTGAAGAAGTGACCTTGGCCTGTCCACTCACACCCTTTGGAGCAGCTCTGTGCTTCGGCCTGTGTGGCGAGGCAAGAGGGGGATCAGTGTTTGGCCAAAGGAAATCTTTGGAGCCCCAGAACAGGTGATGATCTGCTACAAAGGACTGCTCAGTGCCCAAGACCAACTGCAGGATCTGACAACTGCCCACAGAGCAGCTGCAGAGGAGGGAGTCCACACCCCAGGACTGCCGGGAGGTCCAGTTGTGCAAGACCTACACACTCCACAGGAAAGGATGAAAGAACATGATACAGGCAACATGTGTAATATTATTTTTTTCCTCTCAAGTTCTTCATTTCACATGAAAACAGGATTATCTTGTGTGTGTGTGAATCTCCATCAAAAGTCAGAGCTTTCCAAGCACCATCACACAGTTTGTTGCCATGGAAATGACTGTTATGCCACAAACCGGCGCCGGCCCTCACGGGGAGAGACAGCAGGAATGAATGAATCCCAAAATGAGTTAAAGTGCTTGTCTTCATGTATTTCTTAATAATGCATAAGAGAGCAAAAATATAGCATACACAGCTCAAGTTCAAAACTATTTCCGACCTGAGTTTCTCTGACACACACCTACCATCCAGTTTCAGCTACCCTCCAGTGAAGAAAGCAAGGGAAAATAAAGTGTTTATTAAAAACACTTGATCTAATCAAAATTCTAAATTCTTAATGAAAATGAAAGGCCACAAGCATCTGCCACTTCCCCTAAGCAGAAATAAGAGCTGCATATTCACTTCTAAAAATATTTTATGCAGAAATACTGGAAAGCAGATGCATTTCACAGCACGTAGTGCCAGCTGCTCCACAGCAAGGAAGGGCTAAAAAAAACCAAATGCAAACCGTGTGAGCTCTTCTCTCAGCTGACTCCTCTCTCCCAGGCACACTTCCACAAAGGCAGCCAAGGCTACGTTTGGCCATGACCTACTTTCCTGCAGCAGCGAGGAGCCCCAGCACCCTGCACACTGTCATCTGTCAGCTGACAGCGCTGGCTCCTGCGGGATCCCAAAGGGCAGCATCTCCATGGATGCCCACCCGCAGGTCACTGGGGCACTGTGGCAGCTCGTGGGTGGAACACGCCGATTGTTTGGAATGAAATCCCTCCCTGTCACTGCTGTTGTGTCTTCATGAAGAATGACCTACAATCCCCACACATCAATTAGTTACACTCTCTGAACCTCTTTGGTCTGTGGCTGCACGTTCTTGTTAATGAGGCTCTGGCCCGGTGGGATCCACAGCAGCCTGGAAAGCCACCTCTGCTCACACGTGGGCAGAGCTGGGATGGGTGGGACCTTCCTGCTCTACAACAGCAACTGAGGAAGTGCTGAAATGTTCAGCACCCTGATGGGACACACTGAATGGCCTCTGCCAGGAATACACAAAAATCCAAGGAAGCTCTCACGGGGTAAAATTAATGTGTCATGTCTCAACTGGTTGACAAAAATCACTCAGAGCTGGCGTGGCCTTTTGGTAGGTTTTCATCCCACCAGAACCAGCAACACAGAGTTACCTCTGTAAAGAGAAGAGAAAGCCAGAACTACTGATACTGAAACCCAGCGTGGCCTACCAAGTACCAAATTTAGCTTAACAACAGCAAATGAATTTCACATTATATTCTTTGGATCCTTTAAAGATGAGACCTATTACACATAATTTTGTATACAACTTCCCATTTTAAGAAGCCCTCTTACAATTTTCCCTGCTATAAGATCTGACAAAAATATGGAGATATGAATTGAACAAATAGTATTGGAATAACTCCACGTATAATGTAACTTATTTCAGATCTTGTAAATGGATTTAGTGAGGATAAAGGGTGTTGGAAATCCTCAAGTCTACACATTAGGGTATGTGACTGCAGCACTGCTTTAATAAGATAAGCCATCTTCATGTATTTTAATATTTAATGAAAAATTTGGGGTCAGAGCCAAGAGGTCAGAACAGTCTCACAATTTAAGGTATTGTTTCTATGTTCAGTTCAACAGTAAAAACGCTTGACATGTATCATGTGGACAACTGCCTCCCAAAGGCTAAAAAGCCATCCTCGATTCCCATTCTGGGATGAAGCTGCTGTTTAACTGCAGTTTTCGTGCACTGCTAAACTAATATGGAAATGGTCACAAAAGATCCTTCATTATGCACTTCCAGACCACTGTATTTACATATTTAAAAGTTAATTAAACTGACACCATATGGTCACCAAAGCCTTGTCCAGAGAATCATAAAGATATGCCTGATAACACACATGGCTCACAGAGAGCAGCAATAATGTTGCTCTATCAAAGAGCACATTAACAGAAATTACCATGAGAAAAAGATGTATAGTTGCACGTGCAAGATCAAACCTACAGCCTCAATGCAGTCAGAAGTCTGTCAATCCAGAGACCCACAGCCAAATATGACACGGTTCAAGGAAAATAAAGCTTTGCAGAAGCACCAGAACTCCAGTCCCCGATTATAGTGAAAAACAGGCAA